GTCTCCTTTTTTCTAGGACTAGCTTTAATGACAGGCAAAGCAAACTGAGGCCTGGAGCCTGACATCCTATGGGATATCTCTTCTTCTTTCCTAGGCCATAGCATCTTTCATTGATATTTTTTAAAAAAATAGAGTATAATTGCCTTTTATTATACTATCATCTAATTATGGAGTACTTTGAATTCACATTTCCTTTGCTATTCTTTTATGATATCAGGTTAAAGATTCCAAATCCATAGTAATTTGACTGATTATCCAAATATATAGTTAGTACAAAAAATAATACTATTTGGCATTCCTGTTTACTAATTAAAAGTAGTGCTGATAATATATTATGGATCAAGTCCAAAGATATTATCACAACCCGTAGTATATCAGTGGATTACTTATCAAAATAAAATGGAGACAGTGTCTCTCTTGGATCATTCTACCAGTGTCCCCACCTATTTATGTCTCTTCTGGTATGTGTCTTCCTTTGCAGCTAATGAGATATAATACCAGTGGTCATGCTCTATATGCTTTTCACCTTTAACTACTTTTCTTAATAGGTTGATGTATTTTGCTCTCTCATGGGTAATATCTAACACAAACAAGTCAAAGACTCTCATGCATTTAATTAAGAGAAATATATTAAAAAGGAAGAAATTGATAGCTTTAATAAAAGTTTTAATAAAATGAATGACTTGTAGAACATATCCATATTGAAATCCTTTTCAAGATAAGTTAAGGCATCTCAGTTAAGCTGAAACTGGATTCTAGGAAGGAATATATAATCCCAAACATTATTTTGTTAAAAATGATTTGTTAGAATTCCCTCCTGCTTACCAGGAACTCTCTCTTCTGTGGTATGAGACATTTTTTTTTTCAAACCTTTATCAATTATTTTTTATTCCTTTGATGTGCTGCCTTATTTATAAATCTGTTTTAACATACCAGATAGTTTCCCCTTACCCCATCTAAATTCCCCCCTGCTCCCCTTCTCCGCTCCCCCCCCCTCCCCCAGGCAGATCCAAATTTGGTAGACAAATTCACCTGCATGTTGTTACCTTTTGACTGGACTTGTGGTTACAAGTGAGATTAATTGGTCGATGAGACCATTCTAGTCACAACTTGAAAGCTTCTTTTTTTTATTAGGGGACTGCAAAACAGGCCATATTTGATTCAGATTCAGCCTGACTTGGAGACAATGATTCAATTTGTTGATTCAGATCACTGTCCCCAATTCTACTTGGATGAATCTGAAGATTCCATGTTGATTCAGATTTGGACATAGACACAGCTTTAAATGTTTTTTCTACATACTTGGAGGTGCTGGGCATGGTTTGTGAATGCTGTAATGGTGGGGGCAGATGAAGCATCCCACAGGAGCATGGGAGGAGCGGTGGGGCGCATGCTCAGTTGTGAACCCAGAACTGGAGCAGAAGTACTTCCAGTCCACTTCCAGGTCCACTGCCAAGCATTGGGGGGGGGCCCACCTGCACCCCTCGGCTCAGCAATTGGCCATGGGGGGACCCCAGGTGCTCCCCCAGATCCAGGAAACATCAGTCACCAAGCTGGGGGTGGTCCCCCGCGTGCTCCACAGTGGACCTGGAAGTGTACTGGAAGTGCTTCTGGTCCACTTCTGGGTCTGCTGCCGAGTGCACTGGGTGCCTCCCAACACTCCCATGGTATGCTCCATATGTCCCACCATCTCAGCATTTAAACATGTAAAGCTGTGCCTATGTCCAAATTGTCTAATCTTTCTGAATCTCTCTGAATCAATTTGATTCAGAGAGATTAAAGGGCCTCCTAATTCAATTCGGATTCAGACATTTGGCCACAAAATCGGGCCAAATCTCCACCGAATTGAATCAGTAAATGAAGCTTCTCACAGCCCTATTTTTTACTACAAGAAGCATCATGTACATGCTGGCTTGTTTGGGGGAAAAAAAGGTTTTTTTAAGGAAAGATAACCTTTTTTCAAACTTCCATTCTAGTTCCCAGTCACAAAAATAGTTCTTGGTCTTCAAGCTCTTTATGGTTAGAAAGATCTAACTCTCAAAACTCCACCTAAACATATAATTATCTGCCATTTAAGGACATTTCTTACTGGGAAGTAAAAGGCCTCTTTTAAAACTCTTCTTGAAAATGTGTCGCTGAAGAAATGATGATACATTCATATCAAATATTTTCCCACTCCTTTGGACCTGAATTGGCTAGATAAGTAGTAAAGATTATAATATCATTAAATTAGTCAACTAATTGAACCTCTCATGCTCAAATTGTAAGCAGGTTTTGGATTTTCTCTATTTAATTTATTTGAAATGTATTTATTGATTTAAAGATGTCAGGGTGACTGGAGTAAAAGATACATTGGAGGACAATATTAGGATTTTAAATGACCTTAGCATACCTTTTTTAAATTTACTATAAAATGAATATAATATAACTAATGCAAGTGCAAGGAACTGCACTTAGGATGGGACAATCAACTGCACAAATGTGAAATGGGGAATAACTGGCTAGGATGCAGTACTGCAGAAAAAAATCCTGTATATTATAATGAACCACAAGCTGAGAGACAACAATGAAATATTGTTGCCAAAAAAAAAAAAAAA